TGCAAGTTCAACAATGTTGCGAATCGCTTCCCTCGGGACTACAACAAAGTTGCAAGTTCAACAATGTTGCGAATCGCTCCTCTCCGAACTGCAACAATGTTGCAATTTCGAGAGGAGCGTTTTCGACATTTGCAACATTGTTGGAATTTTGAGCTGCCATGTTTTGTCAGTACAGGTTGCCTAATTCAAGGGGCTTAGTTTTCTGTACGTTTCGTTCATGTGCTCCTGTGCGAAGAGGTGGCACGAGAAACATGACACTCAAAGAAGTAGCATAACTTTTAATTAAATATCGATACTTACCTCGATACTTACCTTGAGCGTATACTTACCTTGCGTGTATCAGGAGAACGTAATGAGCGAGTAGGTGTCATAATTTTTATTTTCTGCTCGATACTTACCTCTTGTATCAGGAGAACGTAATGTGCGAGTTGGTATCATAATTTTTATTTTTTGCTTGAAACTTACCTCTTGTACGAGGAGATCACGATGAACGAGGAGGTGGCACTAATCGAATTTGCCTTGAATTCTACTCACGTACGTACCTTTTGTATCAGAGTCACATGAACAAAGTACTTTTACCCTCCCCGACTATCGAAGAAATTTTGTCTAAATTAAATAATTGGTTTTATGTTTCTAATTAAATATTTATTACAAACAAACACTAAGCATGAAAAGATAAAAAACCGAAATAAAATAAAGAAGGACGAAGAAAGAAAATGATGGAGAAGGCGAAAGTAAAGAAGAAAACAGAACATCAAATTAGTTGTTGGACGAGCTTGCAACATATGTGTACATTGGGGAACAGGTGATACTGAGAACAGATTTAGGAATTTTTAAACGAGAACGCGAACGTTACATAAATTACATATTCGAGTTACGATATCTACACGATCCTTTGATCTAGACGTGCGTGGATCTAGAAAATGTCAGCATAAATAATATTCCCCGATTAGTAGTCGAAATCGTTCACGGTCAAAGGAATAACTCCGATCGTGAGACCAGCAAGTATTTATACGTGTCTCGTAGCGAGACAGCGACACACGGTAGCTCTGACACGCTCAATCTTTCATCCCGGTTTCAAAAAAGAAACTTCGATCGGTCGACGTGAATTTAGACCTACTAGCAACAGACTATCGAAGTTTCAAATGTTAGCGTGGACTAGTTAAGAAGAGGCGCATCCACTAGGCAGCGCATATTCTTGGATCAGCTCTCTCGGCCCAGTCACAGACCTGATCGCATTCTCTTGTTAATTTCACCGATTCGATTACGGCCACTTCACGAAACCTTCTTCGTCCGTTCATTTCCTATCATAGTTCATATCACGCAAAGCACCTTGAAACGTTGCTTAATTTCAGATCATCGCTTACGTACAGAAATGTATAGAAGTATATATACATATATATATTGGTATGCTAATTTGGAATTCCAAATTATTAAAATTAAAAATTCATAGTTGCAAAGTGATGATTTAAAATAAGAAATTCAGAGTTATTGTTTAATGCTTTTTCAGATAATCTTACTATCTACTCGTTTATTTTCTAGATAATCTTACTAATTGTGAACGTATTCTCGATGTTCGACAAATTCATTTCAGTCAGTACCTTAAATAAATGTAACTGAATTTACATTTACACACTTATTTATCACATTATACATTTACATTTACACATTTATTTAAAATTAATGCAAAGTATCGCGTTTCGTACGGACTTAAAAACCCCGAATATGTAATGTTATTAAGCCTAATCGTTAGATACGTTCGAAATCCTCGAAAAGCTTCAGTAATTAAACCAGCATTTACAATCCCGCGGTATTTTCACCTACTCTTCGTAATCAATGGATCTCGGTACCGGAGCGTTTATCTTAATGAAGTTCGATAAGGTGTCCAATTAATTTTCTTAGTAAAAGTCTCGAGGGGATCTCGGCAAGAGCTCTCGTTCACGTTGCGCGTTAACTTCCAAATTTGCTAGCCTGCTAATCTCCACCAGCGAGCCGATGACGCGACGTTCCGTACGGAATGCTGAAATTCCACGATTTTTATTCGTCTCGAATGCACAATCGGGAACTTGGGATATCGAACACGTCCGTCCAAGCGGAGTCTGAAAATAAGGTCAACGTCACCGATGAAGCCGCGTCGACTAAACCGGGACGTACGAAATAGAATACCTCCGAACTCTGTAGGATTTGAAACAGCTGACGTCGATCGTAAACGAACCAACACTCAAACTTCTCGGACCACTTGTAAAGGCTTTTTCCTAAAGGTGTTCTAGTATTTCATTTGTACATCACGTTATTGGCGATTATCAGTGGTTCTGTCGAATAAATCTTTTCCAAAAGTCAAGTATTAGGTTGTCCCGAAAGTTTCTTTCGTAATTTCCACTCAATTATTTTGCGCGGTAGTGTTTATATAAATAGACAATCTAATTTCTTGGATGTCGACGGTGTAACAGTAATGGAGCAAAATGAATCGTACGCAATTCAATAACGTAACATTGGACATAAAATATCGTGCATGTATTACTTATCAATAAAACGAAAGAAACTTTTCGGACAATCTGATATAATTTGACCGACTAACGCAATAAATGTTGTACACGCATCTCGTCTAATATTGATTTTTTAAATAACCCCTATCGTTCATCGATCCCAGCAGATATCGACAAAGGTTTGATTTCGCGATTCCGATCGTTTTTCAAGGAATAGTTTAAAATATCCACGGGACACGCCGGTGTAGACGAAATCATTCAGTCTCTACCGTATCTCGCACACGGCCTACTTCGTCCAAGTGCTATGAACTTTGCAATAACCTGCGATAAACCAAGAGCAGTTCTCTAGCACGAGAGAGGTTTCCGTTTAGCGACAGTTTTCCGCGACTGGTCGCGAACGATTACTCCCGTGGAGAGCGCGAGGTGGACGTCACATAAATAATCGAAAGCGCAGTACTCACTGTAATCCGACGTGTCGTCGTTGGATCCGTTCACCGTGCCATCCGGCAGGATCTGTAGATGTCGATTCTTGATGTACATCTGTATTTTCCTGGAAGCGCCGGTGATGTGGGACAAATTGGCGGATCGTTCGGCCCTCACGCCGGCATCGCCCGTTAAATCAACCGGCGCGGCACTCACTGCACTGATAACTGTGCCAATCGCGAATACACTCAACACGCCGGTACTCGGTCTCGCACTGCAGTTGAACACGCTCGATTTACGGAGCCCGCACTGCCCGAACGCGACGAGGAACAGGAGAAAGGCTAACCGAATGTACGACGAACGGCTGTTTGGACACTCGCGTCTCTTCTTCCTCGTTCCCCGGGGACACCTCGTGGACCCGTCGTCACGAGGAAACTCGGTCTGGCGAACGCTCGGCGCGACCTTGGCGACGCACGACTCACGTCTCCAGGAATTCGTCGAGTCCACTTCCTTCCACGTTTCATCGACCAAGGACGGAAGCACGCTCCCTGGAACGAGCTTCTCGTAGGTTCGGTCGCTCGACTGACTAGAGAACAATGCCTTCCCTATTCGCACGCAATCCGCTGCGTGGACCTGCGGCCAGTTCTCGGCCGAGAAATCGCGTTTAGAGCAGCAGCCCCGTTCCCCGTCGTTCCCGCTCGGGAATCGATTCCTCGTGGGATCGAAAGCACGAAATCGCCAACGCTTTGTCACTGAATTCTCCGCGTGCTCGTCGACGACACCGCGGAGCCTGGACTCTGGCAGTTCCAGGCAAGAGTCATCGCGATCATCTCGGATGGCTTGCGACGCATCGGCAAGCCTAGGAACGTTTGGCTCGGTTCTTTGGAATCCTCTCGATCCTGCTCGTCTCGATGGCAAAACGGAGCAACGACGAGACTTCGTAGCTTCTTCGTCGAGCGATTCGTTGGAATCGATCCGCGGTAGTCGTCGCGCGATGGAGGCTCGAACGGCTCTATTATCGCGGCGCAAGGAAGACTCGGTGGAAGCTGAGGCTACGATCGGTATCGGGCAGTCGGCACGGTAATCACAGTGCAGCACCCTTGGCCCGCCCGTGTCGATCTCAGCGGGCATGACGGTCTCATCCACACTCCTTTCCGAGCCCTCCTTCTTATCTACGCGCCGCTTCCTCGCTTTTATCTCGATATCGCTGGCGCTCGTATCTTTGCTCGTTCTATCGTTTTCCACGTCGGCCTCCGTGTCCGGCGAACTTGTACACCCGTCGATGATCAGCTGGATCAGAGCCACCGGCGATTCGTTTGGTCGCGGTGGCAGTCGCAAGAGTGAAAAGGCGCGTCTACGATGGAAGAATACGATGACCACCTCATGGTTACTCCGGTTTCGCCGAACACAGGCTCGCTTGGAAGCTTCTCGCCGAACACCGAGGATGCGGCAACTGGTCCTCTGTTACCGTCCTTGTACCGCGTTTTCGGTACTCTCGCATTATCGCTGACCGCCGTGGCAGCGGTTCTTCCGCGGTAGGATGGAGCAATCAACGACACGGTCGAAGGAACCAGCTCGCGGTAGTCAGAACGGCTTGTTCGCGAAGATAGGAAACCACGGGATTGGTTTACGAGGTAGCATCGAGGCGACGTTCGATGTATCCTGAATGAAAACGACCGACCGAATCGTTTCTGACTTCCCGTGTCCGATATATCGCCGAGGGTACTCGTTACACTGCGAATGATCCTGGGTGAATCCGATCGGCGGTTAGGAGACGATCGACGAAACGCCTTCGACGAAGGGAATTAGCGACAAAGAAGACGAAAGGATCGTCGTTCGCTCGCCTTTAATCGGTCTTGTCGAAGCACGCAGGTTGATGCTACCGATTACCTTCGTCGACCTCGCTCTGTTCCTCTCTCTCTCGGTCCCTCTATCAATCGCAAGAACTTCTACCGACACGTTACTCGTACCGCCTTAACGGGTTTCTCTCACTCTTTCTTTCTCCCTCTCTTCCCAGTCACCGCCACCACCTCCTCTCTTTATCCCTGTCTCTGTCCCCGTATCACTGTTTCTCTTTTCACTGACTGCCCTCCCCACCCCCCTTCCCGGCCCGTGGGAGCGCGTATCCTTCCGGAGTCGCGGAGGGTCGTAATCACGCGCGGAGATTTCTTTCGCGAGAATAATTCGCGGGGTTCACTTGCCACCACTTCTCACCCACTGCTCGCGGACGTGTATCGCGTATCGCGAAACCTGGCTCGGACCACCGGCGCTTAGCTGACTGTGCTCCGACACGTTCCGTCACCGCGCGAAAACACCCTGGCGAGGTCGTACGATGCTCCCTCCGCGATGATAAACAACCAACTCGCGAGAAGACGGGTGACGGTGTGGCGAAACGAACGACCGACGAGCCTCCGCGCAACGCTCGATCGAAGGTGGTGGTGGATCGACGTTCGATCGTTGCCGATGGATCCCTCGTGGCGCGGGGGGGGGGGGGGGGGGGGCGGGGGGCGGGGGGGCCAGGATATACTCGAGGAAACGATCTTTCCAAGATCCAGACTATCCCGACGATAGTTTCCCGTATTTCGTGAACGGTCACCTGGCTCCGTTTTCGTTTTCTTCGCGTTCCGACGAAACGTGCGATCCAGTGTCGCGATCGTGGCGTCCGTCGTTATTATTACGAGGTCGGGGATAGTCCGGGCACTCCGGGGTTATCTGGTAGGTCGGATGGTGCCGGTGCGGCGTCCGAGAAACTACTGAACGAGTGCCGCGGTTCTCTTCTCCGGCTCGGTTCGGGCACGCTCCTCGGTTCGCTCTCGTAGAGAGACCGAACACCAGACCGACACACCATCACACGGCCCGGCAGCAGCCGAGAGTGAAACCAATACCAACGCGCGTGGATCGACTCGACTCGCTACTCACACGGGCCCGCAGCATCCATCCCATCCCGTCGTAGTTGTAGTAGTAGCCGTCGTCCCGTTTCGTCCCGTTTCGTCTCGTCTCGTCCCGTTCCGCTTCATACCATGTCGTCCCGGTTCCGTCCCATCCCAGAGCGACGCAGCACGCGACAGATCTGGATGCTCGCTCGCTCTCGTCCACTACCGCGCCTCCACGACCACCACGCGCCTCTTCTTCTCCCTCTCTTCTTTCGCCTTACTTCCCCTCCTCCTTTCCACCTTCGTGTATCTCCCTTTCTCCTACCCTTTCTCTCTCTCTCTCTCTCTCTCTTCTCTCGAGCTCTCTCCTTATTTCTCTTTCTCTGTCTCCACCTGGTCTACCTATGCTACTCCGAACCGCGACTTCGTTACCTTTCTATCTTTCCCTGCTAACCACCGTTTCTCTCTTCCCTCCTTCTTTTCCTCGTTACGCCTCTTTTGCGTCGGTTTTCTTCCCTTCCCGTGCTCTTTCCTCTTCCTCGCGAATCTCCTCGACGCTTCGCGTCAGTACGCTTCACGTTCCCGTTCACTGGTGCTCCGATCCGATTTCTCTCGCGTTTTCTTCGATCCACGTTTTACCTACCGACCTATTTCGACAGTGTGCGCGATTTTTCGGAAAATTCTCACAACTTTCGACGAAACTCGTTACGCGGTGATCCGAGCTTTACGTCGAAGTGCGTGCACCGTGGCTACGTCGGGAGCTCTGTTTTCTCGCGTCGAGTACGATGGTTGACAAGCAAAGACGCAATTAACAGCCCCCGGTAGGTAGGCAATGGAGATTAAACAGCCTACGGATAAGCACCTGGTGCGAAAAGGATGGATTCCAAAGATTCGACACTGAGCTGCTGTTTCTTCTTTGTTCTCTCGTACTTCTCGTGCCGCGAAATGTTTCATCTGGTTCTTTGCGACCTTTGCTTATCTTTCTTCCCCCTTTCCTCTATCCTTATTATCTCTCCAATTCGATTTTCCTCGCGTTTCCTTCAATTACTGCTTCATCAATTGCTCTATTTAAGAAGTGTGCGCAATTTTTCATCGAATTTTGCAACCTTTAAATGAAACCTAAAACGATTTTATTGGTTCGTATCCTGTTTCTCTCGTTCAGCCTGGTCTACGTTTGATTGGTTTACCTTTCTATCTTTATTTGGACCGCACAGGTTCGCTTTTTCTCCGTGACGGATACTTTGCTTCGCCTGTCTTCCCTCTCGCGTTCTTTTCTCTTCTTCTAGATCTTCCTTGCTTCGCAATACATCTGTACGGTTTCTATTTTGTCGGCCTTTAGATCCAATTTCTTTCGCATTTCGACAACTTATCGTCCAGCTAGCGTTTCTCTATCGTCCTCCTCGTACTCCACGGTGTTTCGGCTGTTTCCTGTACACTTTCGCTTATCTCCCTTTGTCCTAACCCTTTTCTTTCTCTTCTTTCCCACTCCCTCCTTATTCCTCTTTCCCTGCCTCCGCCTGGTCCGCCTATGCTGCTCCTCGCCACTGCTTCGTTACCTCCGTCTTCATCTTCTGACTGTAGCACCACCGAGAACACGAAAAAATTTGTCTGGTCATTTTATATGTAAATTCATCGTCATTCCAATTATTTCTAATTAAAACTATACAGATTACAATTAGTCCCACTACTATTCCTATAACGACATTCTTATGCAATAAACAAGGATGTAACACTGCAGTTTGTAATGATAGAGGTACTAAATCCTATACATATCCTGATACATATCACTGAAAAAAATCTAATACTAAACCTATTTTCTCCCTTAACACGTTGATCGCCACGTTACCCATATACATAGGTAACAATGCTTATCACTGAAAAACTACGAAAATTAATTCTGAAAGTTTTAAGTGTCACAGAAAATGAATTTAAATAAAATACTTGACATTTGACGAAGTTACAAAATACCACAATAAATGTTTCATTACGCAGTTTCCAATAGTCTGTAAACAAAGTTTAATCGCAGTAGACATTTTTAAGAGTATTAATCTGACAGTGAACGTGTTAACCCTTAGCACTCGAGAGTGGCTCGAGAGTGGCTCGAGAGTGACTCTCGGTGGTCGCTAGGTTCGACGCAGTCAATCAACCAACAATAACGTTTGCTTAGGTTTCATCTCTTTGGAACTCGAAGTGTCAATAAAATGATTGTATCGGAAGAATTTCAAGTGAACCGAAGCAGGTGTCTCTTCTCTAGCCCTCCAACGTGCTTGACAGACTCTCTTTGCCCGCTTGCTAACGAACTCAGCATCGCAGGATAATTATTCCTCCACGTGTCCCTGCGCTGCTAGGTCGATGCCGAAAGATAAAGGCGTCGGCCAGGCTAGAGAAAGAAGAAGACCGTTAACAAGGCCACGAAGGACGAGCGTGAACACCTGCAAACCTGGTAAGATAGATCGCTTTGGAAATCGCCTGTTGCACGCGCGTCCGTGTCACGATTACTTTTACTTCGTCTTCTCCGTCCTTTTCTTCCCTCTTCTTCGTCCTTTCGATCCAGGTTCGATATTCTCAGCGTTGGCCCCGTTCCGGCTTATTTGCTCAGTACACTTTGTATCTTATCGAGTCCTCTCCCTTTCTGGCGTTTTCTTCCGTGTTCTGTAGCCCCCCCACCGTCCCCTACTGTCCGTTTCTTTACTCTTGGTGGCTATTCTTCCTGTCCTACCGCCTCTGTTTCGCTAACGGGACGTCTCGTAGTGTTTGTTTCACGCCACCGTGCAATGCACGAGACCGCGATCAGCCGCGACGCGCATGAGTTGTCGTTTTCTACGGCTACTTCGCTTCGTTTCCTTTTCAATCTTCCTTAGACGCGAGCGAAAGCTTGATCGAGGTCAGCCGAGCGTACCAGTAAATGGTAAACAAGGTCGTCCCTTAAATTCACGACCGGGGGAAATGTTTCCGTTTGTGGAGTCTTTCCGGGCTACTGATCGACGAGAAAAATCCATTGTCGAATGGTAAATACCGAATGAAATGCGATGCCATCTCTGGTTCAAGGACTTCTTCTTCTTCTTTTTCTTCTTCTTCTTTTTTTTTTTCGTCTGTCTGTTTAATTCGTGTTGGATATTTCGCGATGAAAGCGGCGAAATTTCTACGAAACGTGCTTTGTAGCCTCGTACGCTCTTGCCGCAAAGAAGTATGGTTGCAACGACAGTGATTTTTCGAGGAGCAACCCATAGGGAATTTACAGTCGATTTTAAATTTAGATTAAAATTATTAGGTTGTCCCGAAAGTTTCTTTCGCGAGTTGCACTCAATTATTTCATGTAGTCGTGTTGAAATATTAGGTTGTCTAGAAAGTTCGTGGCAATTTTTAAGAAAACTTCAAAGGCACATTTTAATTATAATATACATTTATTTATATGTATATTTATTGAATTACATGGGTACCATTTTGTTCCACAACCTTTCCACCTTTTAAGAAATGTACATATATATATGTTATTTGTTTTCAGCCATTTCGACATATTCAGACCGGCATCACCTATCAAAAATCGATAGTCTAATTTCATAGATATTCATGTTGTAACGGTAACGAAAACGTAATGTAACATAAAACGTAAAATATCGTGCATGTATCACTTATTAATAAAGCGAAAGAAACTTTTCGGACAACCTAATACTTCGTCTATTTCGGTAATTGAACATATACCATGTTTATCGTTTATAATTATAATATTATTGTACCATTTATCACATTTAAATTAAATGTACGAATTAAATATATTTAAAATTCGTGGCAACGAAGTAAATATTAAGAATCGAAGAAATAAACTGTATTTGGCACAGATGCATATTTATCGAATGTCTGGATTGTATGATAAATGGTAGCACTTAAATTATTAAACGTTTTTGTAGCCGATAAGCAATGGACAAAATCGAAAAATTTAATAACAAGAACCGGTTACGTTCGGAGTCAGGTAGCACGTTATTCTTGCGTGCGCACATACTTCGAACATAACTCGCGACGACTTGTTGCATCACATAGATAGCAACATTGTTATCATTTCTGCCTAGACATGTTTACGGAAAATGTACGTAGATAACGTTCTTTATCTATACAGGGTGGCATCTAGTTGTTCGTCAACATATCAGAAAGTTGATCCACATTTTTCTATACTTTTCGAACTTTGTTTCAGCTGTGACGAATTTAGAAAGATAGTTGAATAGTCTACGTTCCGCTCGTGGAAATTCAAGATCGAGTAGAATTATTAGATTATATTGTAAATATAATGAATTCCGCTCTCGACATTTTCTTGGATTCTAATAATTGGAAATTATTTTTATTTTTATCATAAGAAATCGTCTTCCGCTGCAAACGGGAATAGCGTGTTTCATTAATTTACATGCAACTCCTCCGAAGGAACGCCAAGAACTGATGATACTGCATCGTAGCAGGCTGTTTCTTGTTTTAATTAAAGTTACGTTTGCAACTAGAGAGACCGGTGCTGGTTGAGAAGAAGAAATTAATACGTACTCCGTGTACGTGCGGGGACGAAGGGGTTAACAAGGGACTGCCCCGCGGATCGTAAGAAGAGGAACGGAAAGGATCGCGCATCGGTTAT